GAGAGAAGCAGACGTAACGTCTCCATACTTCTCGAACATCTCCCGGAACTCATCCTCGCTGATCTCCTGGTCGATGTTCTTGACGTAGATGTTGGTGAAGTTGGCCTTCATCTCCTCAAACTTGCTCATGCGGTCCTTCTTGGGGATGTGGTGGCCCACGAAGACCTTCTTCTCATTGAGAAGCATGCCGTTGACACTCTTGATGGCGGAGTTGGCAGCTTCGGCCGTCTCGTAGTGCACAAAGCCGTAGCCCTTGGAGTTGCCCAGCTCATCGACAGCGACCTTGCAGCTGAGAATGTTGCCAAACGCGGCGAAGGTGTCGTGGAGAGCCTTGTTGTCGATGGCAGCGTCGAGGTTCTTGATGAAGACGTTGCCCTGTCCAGTCTTGCGCAAAGCGGGGTCTCGCTGAGACCACATGATGCGGCAAGGCCGGCCCTTGATAAGGGTGTAGTTCAGCTCTTCCAGTGCACGCTCACCATCGGCAGCGTTGTTGTAGTTGACGTAGGCGTAGCCGAGCGAGCGACGAGTGACGGCGTCACGGCAGACACGGATAGACGCGACCTGGCCGATGGAGGAGAAGAGCTCGAAGAGCATGGCCTCGGTGACGGAGGGGTCGAGCTCACCGACGTAGAGAGAGGCGGAGTTGGAGTGGGCAGTGGAAGGAGCGGCAGAGGTAGGGGTGGACATTTCGTTGAAGTCGGGGGCGACACCGGTGTTGACCTGCATGGTACCGTTGGGCGCGGCGCCGTCGGGGGTGGGAGAGGCGGCCTGACCAGTAAGGCCGGCGGGGGAGGTGGACGTTTGAACGTCAGACATTTTGATTGATTTCTTCTGTGATGGACGGGTTAGAATGTGTCGGAGAAAAGAGGGAGAACAGGAGGCGTTATTATTGTCGCTGCCTTTGATGTGGCGGACAAAGAGCGTGCAGGGAGGGAAACATACTTTTTTGTTCAAAAGCAGATGCAACACGTGAGGCTGTTGTGAGCGAACGGAAGTGAGTGGCTCTTCTGCAGACGTCAGCGAGTGAATCAGAGGGTGGTTTGCCGTGAATACGAGGCAACACTCACAGCTGCTGCGTCGCTGAAAGCGTAACGGTGTTGTTGTCTTTGAGGTTGAGGAGAAGAAAGAAGCCTTCCGACACACCACGGGGGGATCGCGAAGGGACGAGTTTTGCCGGCTTTTCAACTGTTTTTGGGACCCTTGACTTCCGAAGTAGTGCTGAGGTTGTTTTGAGGTGGAACAGGAGAGTAGATGGGGGGAGGAGGGTGGTTTGTTGATGGGAGGAGTGCGGTAAGGAGGGTGAGAGGGCAAGTCAATTCCACGCGGTTGTGCCTGCCTGCGAACTTTTTTGCGCCTTGACCCGTGCGCTTGGCGGAAACCCCGAATCCAAAATACGCTAGCTGCTTTGGGCTAGTCGCGGCTGCCCGCGTCTGTAGCCCCTCGAGCCTGCAATCAATTGACACCTCAGGCCGAACATCTGCTTGATATGAGGCTGAAGTTACGCTGGCAACCAATATCGCGATGTTTGTCTCTGTCCGTCTGTATATCCATAGCACAAACACCAGGATCTCATGCAAGTGCTATCGAAAGCCTCACAATCATCCATCCATCTTACCCGTCAAGTCCATCCTCCCAACCCTCACTTCCCTCAAGAAACATCTTGACCTTGCTCTTGCAAGCCTCCAACTCCTCTCCCAACGCCTCATTCCACTGCCTTTCCACCTCGCCAACCTTCTCCTTAAGATCCTCCGTCAGAACCTCCTCCCGCTCGAGCCTCCCCTTCCTCATCTCCGGCTTCCGGAGCACATCATCTACATTGCGACTTCGTTCCTCAATCTCCACCAGCCGTGATTGACTCTTCGCCCTCGCCGTGCGCACCTCGTGGAGCAAGCATAAGAGATTCGTCTGCGACTCGATGAACTGGTACGCAGACTTTTGCGCGTGGCTCAGCAGGGTGTAGAGGTATTGAAGTGGGTGGTGGAGGTACGCGGGATTCTCGGCGAACTCTTGCTCCGGGATCTGAATGGCCACGCCGGAGACCTCGGCGGGAATGTGCTGGATGACCTCAAGCAGGCCGGGCGCAATGTCCCAGAATGCCGATAATTGCTCCTCCACGCCTCGCGTGACGTTGGTCTCGATGATTTGTTGGAGATCGTCGAAGCGTTGCAGTGACTTTTTGGCGAACGAGAGTTGGCGATCACCACCGTCTTTGACGAAGAATGCTTCCGCCTGCTCAATCTTCTTTTGTTGTCTCGCCTTCCGGAAGGGCGTCAAGATCACCTCGGAGTACTTGAGACTTCGATCGGCGTGGAGATCGTACATCTCCTTGTGCATCTGCTCTCGCGCTTCAAACAGCCACTTCAGCAGGGTGAGCTTCTCCAAGCGCTCGGGCAGCTCGTCACCCTCCTCTTGCGCCTGATTTGGATCCCGGACCTCATTCCGGCTTTCCAGATCAACGCGCAGCCGATCAATGCCGGCATTCGCCTTTTCAAGTCGCGCCGTCAACAGCGCATTCAAAGGGTGGGCCAAGCTTGCCTCGAACACGTCAAAGGCAGATTTTGTGACCGCTTTGCTGCGTTCGGCTTCTTCTTGCTCAAAGTCGGCTTCGGCTTGTGCGGCTTCGGCATAAGACATGGTGCCATCTGAGATTCTGTCCTGGATGTTAGAGCGTAATTGCTTCCTCCGTTCTTGCTCGGCCTCATCTTGTTGGTCTTGCATCGTTGCATGCTGACTGGCGTAGGCATCCTTGATCTCAGAGATCTCAGTGTGGTCAGCGAGGGCCCGGTATTCACCCCTAAGGTCCGCGAGCAGCGGGTGCTTGTTCTTGACGGCAGGATAGTGTCGTGGATATGGCGGGGGTAGTGTCACTAGTCGTGAGACATCGAGAGAACCGTCATGAGGAGTCGACAGCCTCCGAGCATGTCCTGGTGTCGGGACTGGCGTTTCGATATCATCTGACTGCTGCCAGCCTACCTTCTCAGGCGGATATTCATTGGGCCCCAACTTAAAGCTTTCACCGCTTGGGCCCGGCGTAGATCCAGTATGCCGGCTGTTTCTGGACGACGTCTCCTCGTGGTCTTGCAGGGCAGCTGGATTCACGCCCATGTACTTTGTCTCTCGATGGCTTTTCTCAATCCTCTCCGGTTTGCCAACAGAGTTCGAGCCGGAGTTACTGTTGTCCCACCATCGACTTGGTGTCCTGCCACGCGAGCTCTCCTCATCCGCAGTCGAGCTCACATTCATGCTTGGAATGGGAGAGAGCGACGGCTTGAATGTCTCTGCTCTTTGATGAGATTCGGCGCGCTCCAATGCTTCGTCCGATGCAATGAAGCCACCCAGCTCAGAGCCCGGTGTGAATTCGCCGAGGGATGAGGCAGAGGAAGGATCATTGCCATAGGCAGCACCTTGCTGGCCGTCGGATGCCCATGACGGGTGAGTCGGGTCAATTGATGAGTGAGAAGTGCTCGGCGTGATTGTCCGTTTGCTCTGCTGTGCATAAGATCGCCACATATCTCGGGTAAGGTCGACAATGTCGCCCGCCATGGCATTGTAAGCAGTAGCGTAACGGTCACGACGGAGTCTCGACTCGTTGACGATGAAGCTTGCGAACAGCTGCAGGCGATCCTCGTCACATGATGCAGCCGCTTCACTCTCAATGAAGGCTCGATGACGTTCCAAGGCCTGCAAGAAAAAGGTGTCAAGCTTGGCAGAAGGTTGGGCGGAGCTAGAGGATGTTGGCCGTGGAGGACTCGATAGTGTCGGCGTCCCAGAAGTCAAGGCAAGGTAGGAAGCTTGAGAGACCTGTCGATCGCTGGATGCGCTGCCTGGGGCCTTCAACGCGATTCGCTTCAGAGAATCATCGCTGGCTTTCCCGACGGCTGGCGTGTATGGAGGAGTCAGCACACTATTCATACTGGGGATGGCCGTTGGTGGACCAGAGTTGGTGTTTGGAGAGACGGCACTGTCGACACTAGCCCCGAACTTGACTTCCCGAGATGTGCCGTGTGCATCACGTCGGCGACGAATAGAGCCATCCGAAGTACCCATCACCAGACCTTCCTGCTTGGAAACCTTTGCTTCTGGTGACGCCACATTCGCCGCCTCTCTTTCCGCACGACTCCGAGATCTTCGCTCGCGGATTCCATTGCCGCTGCTATCCCGCTTTGCATGTCGGCGGATGAGAGTCGAAGGATCATGGCTAACGCCAGTGTCGATGCGAAGAGGCTGATGCAATGGTGCTTGGGGAACGTCAGTGTCCACCCAATCTGCCGGGGTCGGCGGGACTGGGCCAAGGCTCGACGAAGCGGCCGCTGCAGCAGATCTTCGGTTGCGAGACACGTCAATACTACGATCCGAGCCAATGCTGTTTGATCGAGAACTGCTTTCCGAATAACGATTTAGACTCTGTGTCCTCGACCCTGACGGAGGTGGACCGGGTGGCGGCCCAGGTAGTGGCATGCCTGGTTTCCAAGTGCTAGCAAGAGGAACCTTCCGTATAGGTCCCAGCTGGGTTGCTAGTGGGGCGTCGACTGTTTGATATGTCTGAAGCCGACCTGTTGAGGCCGCTCTTTTGGCGGCTGGTGGTCGCAAGTCGTCCAGCTTTGACAGTCGACCGTCTTCCGCGGGTAGTGAGTCAGCTTCCAGAGTGGATGTACGTATGTTTGCCAGATTGAACAGGTTCCGATGGGAAGATGACGATCGATCATGATACCGCAAAGAGGCTGGTGGAGGCGGGAAGCCTGGAGTCATCGGATTTGGAGGCGAAGAAGCGCTCGAGTTTTGCGATGGCGGGACCGAGTAGACCGAGCTCTCAAACATTGAGATCGGTCGCAACTGCTGGTGCCCGCTTCTGCTCGACGAATATGGAGGCGGAGGGGAGGGCATCGCAGCTATTGTTGTCTGGAATTAGTCAAGGGCAGACCTGATTCATGCGTCAACAGCTACAACATACGCTCCAGACCAGTTGCATCTTGTGTCCCTGCTACCGCCGTACCGCTGCCACGCCGCTGGAACACCCTTTGGGCGCCATACACTTGCGCGTTGTCGGTCCATTGTCTAGGGTCGTAAGGCTCCATTGCAGTGTGATCAGGCGCGCTGACGGGAGGCGAGTGGCCTGAGTTTACAGGTCGCCTACCATGCAAGGGCGTGGGAGATGCGGGGGCATGAGAAGCAGAAGACGGCGATAGGAAGCTGGTTGAGGAGATGGGGGTGTGGGAAGAACCGCCCAAGGTTCTGACCAGGTTGGTGGCAATCGACGGGAGTCGAGCAGGGGACAGCCTCTGGCGCCCTGTTGTTGAGAGCGGCGGGGGCGGAGGGTACTCATATTGCTCACTCATCGCAATGGCCTTGCCCGCGGCAAGTTAGGCGCTGCATCTAGCTGGCCTGGTCTGAGATGACCGAGACTTCAGGAGCGGATGCGGCGGGAAGGATGAGCGCGCATTGAAACACAGTCGAGAGTAGACAAGACAATCACACAAGATGAGGAAAGATAAGATGCACGGCTTGCGATTTTTGTCAGAAATGCGGGCTGAAGGAGCGGGAGTGGATGGCTGCATAGTCCGCCATTGGCCAGCCTGACCAGTCTCCTGCTGCACGTCCGAGGTCAAAGCAGACTCCACAGTGTTGGTTTCTATTCTCGAACCCAGGGAAGCGGGAATGGCGATGTTAGCTCCATCCCACCCCCGCCAAGGGGTGCCCTTTGATGATGGCGACGCCTTTTGCGCGAATCAGCGCGGGTGCAGTCGAACATATCACACAAAGACTTCTGCCCTGCATGAGGCAGAGAGGCGGCGGTGGAGCGAGCTCAGCGCGTAGACAGCGAATGGCGTGCGGTTTGGCGGCGAGCTTGGGGCGGCTAACCGGTTTGAGGTAGCAGAGCTGGGTGTTTGGTGCAACGTCTTCTCATGTAGTGGCCTCCTTCAGAAGAGCGGCAGAGCCAGCAGGGAGACAAGGGCGGGGATGTAGCCTGATACGAGTCGAACCAAGACCCCGGGTTCTTGCACGTTGTATTCGAGGATAGGTCAGGCCACGCCGACAGAAGTCCAGGCTCCCTTCTACTGTACTCCGCGCCGATGCATCAAGGCCGTGGAGAAACAATCTTGCTTCACCATGCTCTAAGCACAGGCAGGTGCATCGTACGTGGAAGTACCATGTGAACGTGAAGGGTCAGATGAATGAGAAGATAGCGAAGATGCCACGATGTCTATGACCTCGAAACGAACGTGTCGGTTCGGTTGGACTGGACATGAGCAAAACGATGACTAATCCATAACGAACGCGCACGGGCGCGTTGCGGATCATGTGGCGCCTGCCAAGCTGATGAAAGCTGGGGCAAGGCGAGCCGCATACGTGATGGTTGACGTGGAATTTCCTGGGGACCGCATCACCATCCACGCAATACGCCACGCAAGGCTCACTCTGCGACTGACACCGACCGCCGATCCACTTGGACCTTGACAGAGTCTGCATCTTACCACCACCACCTCCTCTGACCCTCTCAGTATCTGGACAGCTCGGCGTGCAAGCACTCGGAAGATTGACGGCGGCTTTCCAGCCCACGAACGCATCGTCAAGATGTCGATCAAGTACGCGACCACCATGAACTCACTCTGACTCTGATTGTCCACGGCTGACCGCTAAATAGCTGGGTGATGTTAGCATCCTCTTCAAACCCGACTTCGCCGGCCCCCACCCTCCCATACATTCCTCTGCCAAACGAACAGACGCTCTACACCTCCAGCCCACGCGTCGCCCTAAACATCAACATCCCCGCGCACTTCCCCGGCAAGCAGCAGCAGCCTTTCTCAAGATCTTCTTCCGGCGGCCAACTATACCTGACCACCCGCCGAATCATCTTCCTCCCCGATAAAAGCACGCCACAACTACAAAGCTTTGCCGCGCCGATCCTGAGCCTTCACGACTCGCATGTCACAGCGCCATGGTTCGGGCCGAACGTATGGGCAGCTGCCCTACAGCCCACTGAAGGCGGCGGCATTCCCATTCCGCCTGGCGGGGTTGCAGAGCTGAAGTTCACATTCAAGGAGGGTGGCGCATTTGACTTCCAGACACGATATGAACGGATAAGAGAGAGACTACAGCAGGCTGTAGAAGCGGCCAGAAGTAACGGTGATGCACCCAACGGCGGAATCGGCGCAGCCAGCGGAATGGAAGAGGCGGGCGTGCATTTGGAGGATCTCCCGGCATACCAAGAGGAGAGCGACGGCCCTTTGATGCCGCCTATTGCCTCCGTGCGGCCCGTCGCGCAGGCAAACGGTGGCGATAGCTCGAGTTCTCGCACGGCACAGACTATACCGTCGGAGCCGCCGCCGAACTATGAAGAGGCTCAGACGGCTGGGCCGCATGGCGATGATGCGGGACGGGCGAACGCAGCCGCATGAACAGTCTGCGACCTTCACTGATTCGCTGCGGCGACGCGATGCAGGCCATGTCTATTACACGAGTGCTACGATCAGGCAGTTAGATGAACCCTTGCCATTGATAATTCCCTCTCCTTCACCATCCTTCTATTCTGCTGGTGAAGTGCCCCGCAAGTGCTCATATGGCACGCCTCAGGATGGTCATGTTGCTCCATTCTATCTAAGTGTGTCAGCGTAAATGACGTACAACATGTGGGATCTGCACATTAAGATGAAGCAGTCGGGCGTGCGGGCGGAAGAGTCGGGCAAGGCTGAAAGGAGAAGATGGCACCTGCATTTTTGGCTTCCGCAGATTGCAGGGTCTTTTTGGGTGACCACACGTGGAAGTGCAAGCTTCCCTACTCCATCATCTACTGCTTACCCTTCCAACCCATCACGACACCGCTTGCCCTTGCCTCATCTCACCCCACCCCCTGCACGACACGCTGTCCACGATCCTCCTTCCTATGACACGCAGCGTGCACCGGTCGCCGACGCCCGAGGTCTAGCACACGGGCCCCGAGACGTACGCACCGTCACCTCCTTCCCACCCTTCTCCCTTCTCATAATTGTAATTCTACAAGCGTTCGGCATTGCTGGTCATGTGAGTATCCCTGGCTGATCTCCAGAGCCACTTTTGCGCGCACATGAGCGCGCGCGCGTGGCAGTGAGCCCGTGCAAAAGCGGTTTCGGCCGCGCACGCGACCTTCAACTCCTCGACAATGCTGACACCAACCAGTTGCCATTGCCTGTCGCTACCTTTGGAAACCGCTTCTAAAGTACGACCACCTTTTACGCCCTGCAACATTTCACGCCCGACACGATCCTCCGCATGACTCCCACGATCTCGCACTCCGCGCTGCTGAACACCCCCCTTCACCACCCCCGTCCATCACCTCTGCAGTGATAGTGGTCTCCGATCATCCATCATGTTCTGGCGATTCGGCGGATATGGCAACCTATCCACCCTCGGCGCCATCCTCGACAAGCCCGATGTCACCACCGAGGAGCTGCTGGACGAGAGCGATTTGATTCAAGAGCTGAAGCAGCAGAATGGCAAGCTGATTGAATTTCTCCGGGAAGAGTCGGTCCTGAAAAAACTCCTCAAATATGTCATCTCCGACGAACCCCCGGAGAGTCCGACTCCCAAGGACAAACCCGACTCACCCAAGCCGGAAGAGAAGGAGACTTATTCGTTCTTCGGCAAGGGCAAAGGCCGGTCAAGAGACAGCAAATCCATCAACAAGAAAGATGACGAAGGAGAGACAGAGCAGGAAGCTCAGGAGGCGAAACGAAAGAAGTATGCGTATGTGTCTTGTGAAGTGCTGTCCTCCGAGGTTTGGTCCATCGCGGAAGCCATCCTCGACCAACCCGATAGCCTGCGCGAGTTCTGGCAGTATATGCACCGTCCCGCACCTCTCGACCCTCTACAAGCCGGCTATTTCACCAAGGTCAACGAGGCTTTGCTGGACAAGAAGACTGCAGAGATGCTCACTTTCTTCAAGTCGCTGGATGGCATCCTACCCGCCATGCTACAACATGTCGACTGCCCCATGGTGATGGATCTCTTGCTGAAGGTCATCTCCCTCGAAAAACACGAAGGAGGCGCAGGCATTGTCGACTGGTTGCAGCAGCAGGATCTCATTCCCCTCCTCCTCGGCTACTTGTCTCCCGAACACACTTCCGCCACCCAGACATCTGCAGGCGACTTCCTCAAGGCCATCATTACAATCTCCGCAAACGCTACCACTCAGGATCAATCCGTAATTGGACCAAACGAACTGACCCGTCAGCTTGTCTCGGAGGAGTGTGTCACGAGATTGATCGAGAATATGCTCCGAGGCGGCAATCCGCTCACAGTTGGCGTCGGCATCATCATCGAAGTCATTCGCAAGAACAACTCCGACTATGATCTCGATGGCCAGATCGGACCTGAACCCAAAACCTCTGATCCCATCTATTTGGGCACGCTCTTGCGACAATTCGCAAGCCACGTACCGGATTTCACGAAACTCATTCGCTCGCCGTCGGCCAAGAGACCTGACCTCAAAGTCGCCTTCAATGGTAGGATTGAACCACTTGGATTCGATCGGTTTAAGACTTGCGAGCTCATGGCCGAGTTGCTGCACTGTAGCAACATGGGTTTGCTGAACGAACGTGGGGCTGAGGAGGAGGTGAGAAAGAGGGATGCGGAACGACACAGGCTGAAAGCCGAAGGAAAACTCGGCACACCGAAAGCGTCTGCGAGTCCCAGCCTGGAAAACAGTCATGACGGATTCAGCAGCTCGGTCGACTCGCACGGCTTCCACCATGCTGAGCGACCGACAGACGATGAGATGGACGAGAAGGCATCCGGCGCAAAGACGCTGGACGGGCAGAACACGACCGATGAAGACGGGTTTGAGAAGGTGAACGCGCCTTCGACGGATGAGCTGCCGGATGAGGTGAATTTCTCCGACATCGAGGAGAAAGCAGAGCCTCCCAAATCACCGACCTCCCCCAAACGTGCAACACCGCCTCCTACAAGCCCCAAGAGTGAAGCGTCCAAGCCGGCGCCTCTTTCGCCCCGCAAACAAAACCCACTGCATTTCGACCCTCCACCCACCCACGCCATCGATTCCCCCACCACGGCTGGAGTCACCGACGAGATCAATAAGCTTGGTGTCGACGAGGACACGGTGATGACGGAATACGGCGAGGATCCGATCGACAATGACGACGATGGACCTTCGGAACTGGAGAGAGAGCTCGCGAAGCATTCAGCGGATACCCCGGCACCTCTCTTTGCACCCCGACAAAGCTCATTAGGTGCTCCGCCGACTGCGAATGAAGAGTCGGACGATATCGATCAAAGCATAGCGACTATTCAAGGCGAGCAGCCCAATGCACCAAATGGTGAGCGAGCCCCGTATGAGACGGAGGCGGATGGCAGCCCTGTCGTGGGGGATCTGCTAAAGATTCAATTCGTCGAACACCAAGTCGTGCCTACCATACTTGTAAGTCCCGATCGCCCTATTTCCCTCGTTGTGAGCAAGAGATGCTTACCGCTGTTGTGTGCCGTCAGGACTTCTTCTTCCGCTTTCCATGGAACAACTTCTTGCACAATGTCGTCTACGATGTTGTACAGCAGGTCTTTAATGGAACGCTAGATCGAGGATACAATCAGACTGTGGCGTTCGATCTATTCTCTCCCGTCGAAGCGAAGGATGGTGAGACGCTACAAGACATCGGTCTACATTCGACCAAGGATATTACCGACCGAATCCTCGACGGCCAACAAGCCTCCGATGTTTCGCAAACAGAGAAGGGCATGCGACTGGGGTACATGGGCCACTTGACGCTGATTGCCGAAGAGGTGTGCAAGTTTGGCAATCGACAGCCGCCCGAATGCTTGGACCAAGCCGTCTTCGATCGCGTGAACCGAGACGAATGGATCCAATACGTCGAGGGCCCGCTCGCGGATACTCGGGACAAAGACAACGCCGTGCTTGGTGGTGTGCGACCTCAAGATTCGATGGGTGGCAGATCAATCGGACTGGGAGGCGGCCCCGGCTTCACGGCGAACACGGCCAGCACACTCGCTAACGCGGGCATCGGCTCGGGCCTTGCATCTCAGGAAGGAGGGCAGAGCTTTGAAATCACCGGCGGCACCATGCTATCGGGGTTCGGGGACGAAGAGGACGATGACGATGACATGGCGGAAGAGGGCTTGGTCAGGGAAGAGAGCAGGTTGCATGGCATTTCCGACGACGAACAGGTGGGTGAACTTTCCTTTGATGTTGATATGGACTACCGGTGATTCCCTTCCACGCTTCGTTCGGTGCATGGTGTACGATGACATGGGCGACAAGGCCGAGGAAACCCCGCGTGTACTGGAGCATGGGCGGGAGCAGCACGCAATAGCGACAGCATCTGCATCTGCATCAACGACTGTAGACAATACAAGGGGCGGGACGGCGTCAGTGGAGTTACAAAGAGTTTGTTAGAATCCGGAGGAGCATCACGCGAGCACTCCATCCGTTTCGGCGCCACGCCTTTGCCATCTGAGGCCCCAAAAGGATCATCATTGCGCCACTTACGAAAGCACCTTTCTTTTGTCCTCTTTTCACCTCTGCCCAAGTACTGCGTTTCCTAAAGTGTCCTCTTATACAAGAGCCCTGGCTGATACCACTCCGCCGCACAGGACTTTGCAGAGGGAACGTCAACAGAGATCCCATCCATTCCGCCGCCGCTGAACGTCGCCCCGTCGAGAGCAAGACAACAACTCGCAAAGCGCCTCGCAGCCAAGAAAGCCGAAGCGGACGAGAATCTCGATCCCGACGCCGCAGACAGCGCGGCCGTTGAGGCCGCTAGCCACCTACCTGAAGACCCACCGGAGCCCGTGCTTGACCTGGACATGGCGAGCCCGGACGACGAGAGAGCCGGGCTGCACATCGCAGGCATGAGGACGATGGCGAGCGGCAGCGCAAGTCGCTTCTCAGGCTTATTCGCCGGAAGCGACGACAGCTCGAGTTCAGACGAGGAGCGCACTTCCGACGAAGATGGCGCGGGCAGGGACGAGACGATCGGCCGGCCAGAAGGCGAGTACGAAGTCGCGGACGAGGCTTCATCTGCGTCTAGATCCTCGCAACGCCCGGGTTGGGGCAAGCATCGCCGGCCTAGCACTACGGAGGCCAAGGAGCGCACGCCGCTCGACGTCGAGGAGGACGAAGAGGAGTTCGAGTCGGAGCTTGCGGGGGGGAGTGAGGGGCCTTTTGCCGATCCGGTGGATGTGGAGGATTCGAGCAGCGAGGAGGATGAGTTGGTCGAGATTCGGCCGAGGCGGACGAGTTGAGTGGGCTTGGGTTTGGGTGGCGGATGGGATTGAGTGTTGCATGTCTATACTAGCATGATACCACGCATTGTGAAGGCTTGGATACTATCGTTCGGCATTCTCATTGAAGTGCAGATGTACACCGTGCAAGTGCTGTCTCCTAACAACAAAAGACGCGCGGAGAATCGAAGTTCGCTTCACCCCAGGCCATATAATAAGCCTATCCCCGCCGCCCCTACGATATCTAGCATGCTCCCTTTACGAGATCGGTCAAGATACCGGGTACATGGTCATTAGGTGTTCAGCAGACCGTCACTCAACATTCTAGCATGTTGCATGTTGAATCAGAATGACATCATACATCGGAGCCGGCTCCAGCGCCGTAGGTGCACATATAACCAATTACATAGCCGTACGTCAAGATCTCGCAATCACTTCATTCAATCTTGTGGCGACTGAACGAGAGAGCAACTACATACTGTACTACCACAATCATACACCACCGACATGTCGCAACAAAAAGTCTTTCGCTTGGCCAAGAAGGGCGCCGGGTACAATGCTCTGGAGGAGAAGACCGAGGCGATTCCCAAGGTCAAGCCGCATGAAGTGTTGATCAAAGTCCATGCGACCACGTTGAATTATCGGGATCTGGTAAGGCAGCGTGAAGAAATTGTTCTTACGGGAGTTGCTTACTGATCTTGCCTTGACAGGTCATTGCCAATGGCCAATATCCATTCCCCGTTGGCGAAGACTTCGTTCCCTTGTCCGATGCCGCTGGGACGATTGTCGAGGTTGGATCGGACGTGCCTAATCTACAGAAAGACGGTCAGTCAACCCCCGACGCGGATGCTAGAGCAGCCGGCTAACGAGTCCTCACGCAGACTGGGTCATCTCCAACTTTGACGTGACGAATCTCTACGGCCCGCAGCAGGACTGGAATCACGGTCTTGGTGGACCCATCGATGGCGCCCTGCGAGAGTATCTCCCCGTGCCAGCGAGCGCGGTGGTCAAGATCCCCAAGACGACGAAGCTGAGCTGGGGCCAACTGGCGGGTCTGGTCTGCACGGGCACCACCGCCTGGAATGCGCTGTATGGCAACAACCCGCTCAAGCCAGGCCAGACGGTCTTGTTCCTGGGAACGGGAGGTGTGTCCATGACCGGGCTCATGCTTGCCAAGGCCGCGGGAGCCAATACTATCATCACCTCGTCTTCGGATGATAAGGCGAAAATGGCCGTGGACAAGTACGGGGCTGATCACACCATCAACTACAAGACAACGCCCAAGTGGGAGGAGGAGGTGAACAGAATCACCAACGGCCACGGAGCTGACATTGTCATCGAGAACGGAGGGGCCGGCACCATCGGCCAAAGCCTGGCGTGCGTTGCTCGAGGCGGCATCGTCGCCGTGATCGGCTTCCTGGCGCAGCCGAAGGAGATGCCGGATGTCGCTAGCCTCGTTCTCGGGTCGGGCGCCATTGTTCGCGGGATCAACGTTGGCGCGAAGCAGCTGACGGAAGACTTGGTGACGTTCGTTACGAGTAAGGGTTTGCAGATGCCGGTGGAGAAGACGTTTGGCTTCAGTCGAGAGCAGATCTTGGAGGCGTACAAGTATCTCGAGAGTGGCAGCCATATTGGCAAGATCTGCATCGAGGTCAAGTGAGCGCGCACGATTTACTGGGTGTGAATGTTGGTGAGCGAATAGGCTTGATATACATTAGAGAGCAACACGTAAACTTGAGCAGTCACGTGGAGACGTGAATCTTTCGCGCGATCGTGCCTGCCTCGTGAAGTGCTCTTTCCGCTGTTGCCTTCAAGCACGCGACGCTTCAACCAAAACGTCACTCACCACTTTCACATTGACGAACAGCAACACTCCCGCCCCCTTCTTCTTAACCCACACGCACTCATCGCATCGATCCTACTTCCATCACACATCATCTCTCCCCTCATCCTCCACGATGCCGCCCGCCCTCAAAGCTGTCTGGCTGCTCTGCGAGATCACCGGAAACGGCGACCTCAACCCCATCGAAGCCCACAAAAGCGAAGAGTCTGCCACGGAGGCGATGGACCTGCTTACATCGAACTGCGAGATCATGGAAGTGCCCCTGAAGACCGACACGACCGCGAAAGCCAAGTCTGAAGACACGAAGGAGAAGAAGTGAGTGGAAGAAGAAGAGCCACGCTCACCTGAACAACATCACCGGGCTTCCACTGACGTATGTGACAGGACCAAAGGCATAAAGCGCGCGCGCGACGACAGCGTGGTCGAGTCGGAAGACGAGCTTGCGACCGAGAGCCCAACCAAGACCAAAAAGACCAAGGCTGTGAACGAGGAGCGCAAGACCGTCCCTGAAGGTGTCCCCAACGGCCTCAAGGGCTTCAAGTTCTTCTTCACCGGCACGATGGAGAAGGATCGCAAGACGTGCGAGGCCACTGCGCGCAAATACGGAGGAGTGGTGAGCGGCAAAATTGAAGATGCTGACTATGTCGTCCTCGGAGCCAAGTATGTTCCCACTGCGCGCTGATGCTATTGTGACCGATCCAGCTGACTGTGGGCAGGCCCGGACCGAAGAAGATGACGGCCATCGCCGAGCATGAGCTGTTGACACTTCCCGAGGCCAAGTTCTTCGAGATGGTGAAGACGGGGGTGCCGAAGGAGAAGCTGCTCAGGAAGGCGGCTGGAGGGGTCTGAACTCGGTCCTCGCCGTGATGTGACACCACGCTGCTGTTCTGCCGCGGCGGCTTTTGCTGGTCGGCGCATGTTGCTGACGACGGTCATGTCTTGTGAACTGCCAATGAGAGGAGGTGATGTTCTGAGAGGATCTGTGAGATAGAGTGGCAGCTGCCGAAGTTTTCTTCAGGTATTGTGTCAACTACTAGTCTGTCCATTCCACAGGAGTTGAGAGAGTCTCGTTCCATGCAACTTGTTATCGGCGAACATTCCTGTCATAGGGCCTCTTTGGATGGTTAATCTTGCAGCACGTCAAATGGAGGACTACTGTTACCGAGCCCAGTACTAATTCACACCGTTTGTATTGCGTCTTACCCACGGATGAGGATACGCAAGGGCCAGTCGAGCAAATGCGGTGGAGAAGTCCAATCAAATTCTCGTCCGACCGTTGAGGCTGAGATCTACCATTCGCGCGGAGACCTGGACACCTTATACCAATACGGACAGACGGAGGACGGAGAAGAGGCTTGCGGCGAGGAGAGAAGTCACGCGTCTCCTCGTACCAGGCGTAATAATGCGCGTGGCAGGCTCGTCTTCCTCGCCAATGAGACTCGTAAAGATCCCAGTCGTCGCGTGCACGCGCAACGCGCACCTCATCCTCGAATCTGCCGCGTGCAAAACGGGCAGGCACGCTCATCAAAGAAAGCGTCAACGGTCCTCTTCCAATAGATCGAATCAGCTTGGTCGGGGCATCTAGTGAGCAGCGGCGAACGGCAGAAGACGTTGGCAGTTTAATTTGTGATGGCCGGGAGCAGCCGAGCATGCAATTTCCGGCGGCGGCTTGTCATCCCAGCCTAGTCGATCGTCAATCCGAGCCGCCAACCTATCGTCTCTGTCTCTGTCTCTCTTCCTCTTCCTCTTTCCGTGGATCGACGTCTCTCTTCTTCCACCTGCGTGCTGTTGTCGATTTTCTTGCTCTCACGAGCGTCCTGTCTTTTTTGCATCTTGCGAGTGCGGCGGCTTCATTCGTTCAGCTCGCCGTTCCGCTTCCATTCTTTTGAACACCTTGCGCTGTGTTTATGTGCTTTGTTTTGAAGCGTTGATTTGCTGGTAAGTGGACGAGTGTCCTTCTGCGCATGCCTCTGGGCTTCCGTTCGCAATCGGGATCACAATGCACAGTTGGAAATCGCATGCTGACCTCGACGCATAGCAGACCAAACAAACTTCCACCGCCGCAACAGCCATCACTCCACCTTTATGAGCATACAGAACCCATAATCAACTTCACAGCCCTACATCATGGCTACCAGCACAAACAACCTCTACCAAAGGGCCGAGCAAGCCGGACTCACCCCAACAATGGTCAATCTCCTCGTCGCCCTCATGGTCCTCCTCATCGTCAGCGCCCTTCTGACCGGCATCCTGGTGATCTTGCGCCAACGGCGCAGAAGCCGGTCCAGATTCATCGAAATCCCCTCGCACAAACCCATGCGAATGTCCACAGCCTCCACCCACTCCTTCCACCGCCGCACCAACGCCACCCTCTCCACCTCCATCCACGTCTTCCGCGAGAAGCAATTCTTCTTCGAAGAGCCCGCCGATCGTCCCACAAGCCCCAGCGCCCTGCCCGAGATCCGCATCACCTTTCCCGAAGAAGTCGACGACGCTGGCAAGACACAGTCGGGTCGTGTGGTTGTCGTGCACGTCGGGGATAGCACCAGTCTTGGCTTCGAGCCTGCGGCGGAACAACTGCCGGCCTACCAATTAATAGACTTGGAAAAGGTCGGTGGTTTGCAGGAGCGGGAAGCTCGTCCGCCGCTCGGCTGGAGCTGAACGGCGAGATGCAATGGGGAATCGGGATGGCGGGCTCATGACGGTCACGGCAACGATCCGATGTGTAATTCAATCTGGGGACTCGGGTGGGGATATGATGGGCCAACGGCTGAGAGGGAGAGGCTTGCTATTCGAGGCGCTGGTCATGGGTATGGGAGGAATCTAACTGAATAAATGTAGTGTGTAAATGGCTGGTCAGCCGGTGGGCTTTTGCGGAAGTCTGCGTAGACAAATAGAGACAGCTTTGAGAAATCGAATCCATGTCATTATGCTAGTTCTGCTCGAGCGGTTTTGAGAAAGGTGCATTAGTATATCGACGAGCGTGAAGTGATGCTGGAGGTGATGGCATCTCAGCCTGGTCAACCAATGCATGCCAAAAGTCTGGGACGTCCGACGCAAGCACAGACCACACATACTTCTGCCTTGAGCAAGACAACTAAAGACCACACATCTTCACGGCGCAGGGCACAATGCGGTTCCGCGCCAGCATCGTCAACATCAACACCTTCACCAAATTCACCGCATCCCTCGCAACACTCGGCCACATCGCATGGGTGCGCCTGGACGACAAGGATGTCCGCTTCACCGTCATCCCCGAGCAGGGCACGCAGGTCTGGGCGGTGCTCACCATCGACAGCATCCTCGAGAACTACTCCATCCAATCCGCGGCGCCTAACAACACCATCAACCTCGAGGTTCCCTTGGCTCCGTTGCAGAGGGCGCTGAAGAGCGCGCAGAACGCGATTGCTGCCAATATCCGGTTGACGAAGAAGGACAATATTCCCTTGCTTAGTCTTACTATCACTACCAGCACTATCAACAGCGGGCCCCCGTCTGCATCCGCTTTCAATGCGCGAGGAGGTGCGGGCGAGGATGGCACGGATGGCTTCGACGCGTCGAGTGAGTTCAGAGAGGAATCCGTGGAGGCTTTCAGCAGCCGTGCACAGGATCGCGAAACGACCGTCACCCAGGACATCCCTATCCGCGTCCTCGC